AATTCCACACGGTAAAAGTAATCCTTAATTTTACCTATTGGATGGGATGAAGACGTAAGTACCTCCCTTAAAAAACAATGCCACTGAAAATCAAACATTCAGGTGACAGGATTACGACGCAGCAGCTCACACCTGTCTGCCCGTTGTAATTCTTCAACCGTCTGTGTTCTTCCTTCCTGTTTCAAAATACTAAAAAGAAGAGTTTTCCATCGCATATCAGCAGAAGATAATGAACAAAACCAAGTAGGGACACCAAGCTGACAAACACAAGCTCGGAGGTCACGTTGTGCTGTCTGCCAAAACGCTGGGGTTCCTCGAATAGGTTTAAGGAAACGATACCCATCATCAAATTCTAACAGTTTCTTTAAAGATTCCTCATTCTTCAATACATCATCACCAACTTTTTGAGACATACAACCTCCTTTTCCTTTACGCAAAGCAAGCGATACATTTGACACAACCTGTTCAATTTCAGACATGTACTGAGCAAAAAATATGTATTCTACATTTTGTGCAAACCTACCATCAGCATGTAAAATTCGGTTATTAAAATACCGTGACAATGTCAAACGGTTATCTCGACTTTCATGATATGTATTACATCCCAGTGGAAATAACACTGGAAAGCATTTGGCTTCATTTGCAAGATCAGAAAGCAATTTAACAGGATTATTCCCTTCTGCTGGAGCGAGATTCAATATATCATCAAAATAGTGATCTAGTGCTTCTTGACCAATGTCAACAGGCATGAGACATGTGTCCTGGAACATGCAATGTTGTTGTCTATCATGCAGAAGCTCATCTTCACCAACATCTACAGATGCTTCACCACTTTCTGCATGTGTATCACTATCCTTTCCTAAAACCTCATTATCTTGATCCCTACAAAACTCATTTAGCCAAACTTCAATAAACTCTACATCTTTATAATGTACATTTATTTGTTTCAAACATTTTAAAGCTTGTCTTATGTGCATAGTGTCAACAAACTGATATTTATAATGACCTTTATAAGTTAACTTGCGCTTCAATTTAACAGGCAACAAAGATCCTTCCATACTAGAAAGGTTCAACAAATTAGAAGTTTGCACAATATTTGCAGGAACACATGTTACAGGTCCATGTACTCCATTTTGCCCCCCTTTAGGTAATGCTAACATTTTCATAAATGGTATATGTAAAGCAATCAAATGTTGTTCTAAGCTATTCAAACATGCCAATTCTGGTGGAATGGGATGAACCCTCAAATTGTTTGTCACACATTCAGGTGGCATTTCACCTTTATTAATTTTATAATGACACGTGTAACAAATCCATAGCTTGCCCCTAGGACTGTCCAACCACTGACATGGCATTACACAATTCTTATTACATTTGTGCAAATATTCTTCAGTTATACATTCATCTGAAATTGAAGCTATTGCTTTTCTGTTATAATAATCTCTATTACAATTTAAAACCTGATGTCGAAACAACAATCGTTGGCAAACACAACACACAAAATCTGGCCCATTTATAACTAAATCCAAAAACCGTTGCATTACAAAATCAAACTGTTCTGCTTTTACTTTAATTTCTTGCCTTTTAATTTTCATACCTGCTTTAACTCGCTTCTTATGCTCAGGGCTTCCATACTTTCTTGTACTAATGGCCTTTACATTCTGCCTGTGCAACTGATTTATCTTATATTTTCTTTTACTCATTTCTTTTACCTTAGCCTTATGCAAAACATTTTCCTGATACTTCCTTTTGCTCATGGCCTTTTTCTTTTCCTTATACAACACATCTTCTTCATACTTACTTTTGCTCATGTCTTTTACCTTTTCCTTATGAAACACATTTTCCTGATATTTAATGTTTTTTTGTAAGGACCATTTCCTTTTATAATACTTAGAAGAACAATTATTATTACTATTTGCAGTCATCTCTACATGTCTTTTTGAATTATTTTGAATTCTACACATGTACTGTTTCTCAGGCAAATTACCCACTTTGCACAAATTAAAGCAAACCTTCTTATAAACATCTTGGACACAAATTACGGGCTCAAAATGATTATTCTCACAATGTTTTAAGTAAATTCCATCACGTCTCAGCATTGTCCTCATGCAACCATATTTTACCCATTTTCCACCATTGCATATAAATAGATCCACTCCTAAAGCATTTGCTGTACCTTGAAATTCCATATCTGTAGCACAATAACCCACATATTTCATTTCTGACTTGGCAATATATTCTGATATTGAAGCATATTCTTTTCCTACTAACTTCATTTTTCTTCACTGTGATTTTCCATATACTAGAACCACTAATCACTTGAGCTACTGCTCTAAAAAAACTATTACCATCCTTAACAACTTTATGTGTCTTACAAACACTGCCTAAAGTCCCATAAACAAGGGATACTTGTATATATTCTCTTTCAAAATTCAAATTTAATTCATTGCATATTGTTTGTGCAACTTCAGTAGATACAGGACTATATTTGAATGTCATATGACCTGCATTTTCCACAATTTCAACATCAGAATCACCCACAACTTCAACATCACAATCTACTATCATTCCTGCTGCACCGGTCTCATTTTGCACTGTTTTTAATATGTTGTGTTGTTGTTCAGTCCTAGACTGCATTTGCACTTCAAAATGCAGTTTCTGGTTTTCCAAAGCTAAAACATTATTGTCATTCTTAATATGTGATCTAATATTGTTCCCTGTAACATAAGATTCACTGGTTTTGCAATAGCCATAACAACTCTGTAATTCAGGCTCATAAACACAAACTACAGTTTCATAATGGTTTCCATTGCAGTTTTCTAAGTAGATACTCTAATTTGACAAAAGCTTACTGTTGCAAGTGTATTTTAACCAACGGGCGTCAAAAAATGTAAATATATTGACTCCTAAATAATCCGCTGTTGCTTGTATTTCAACTTCCGTAGCACAGATGTTAAAGGGGTCATATGAAGCGATTTCAAGTTTTCCTTTCTCTTTGCAATAGCCATAACAACTCTGTAATTCAGGCTCATAAACACAAACTACAGTTTCATAATGGTTTCCATTGCAATTTTCTAAGTAGATACTCTGATTTGACAAAAGCTTACTGTTGCAAGTGTATTTTAACCAACGGCCGTCAAAAAATGTAAATACATTGACTCCTAAATAATCCGCTGTTGCTTGTATTTCAACTTCCGTAGCCCAAATGTTAACATATCGCATTTTGGACTTATTGATGTACTCTGACATTGACGAATACTCTGTTCTCAAAATGTTTTGGTATTTTACACCATTTTTTTCCAACTGTTGCACTACAGCAAGTCGTATTTTTCTATGATACTTTTGTGTGCCAGTCACAGCTTGAGAGATGGCTCAGAAAAAACAGTTGCCATCAGCCACTATACTGTCATTTTACATGGAGCTCCTAATAAACCAACACGTGTAAACAGTGGTACATTTGCCTTTTCAAAGTCCACATTTAAAAGTGTGCACAAACTTTGCTGTTGCACTACAGCAACTCGTATTTTTCTGTGATACTTTTGTGTGCCAGTCACAGCTTGAGAGATGGCTCGGAAAAAACAGTTGCCATCAGCCACTATACTGTCATTTTACATGGAGCTCCTAATAAACCAACACGTGTAAACAGTGGTACATTTGTCTTTTCAAAGTCCACATTTAAAAGTGTGCACAAACTTTGACAGACATTTTTACAAATAGGACTAAACATCATATTTTTATTTACTTCATCACTAACAAATTCTACATCTGAATTATCTTTAATAACATCATACCTTTTACATTTTTTTGAAGTACAATTCCTTACTGAAATCTTACGCTTGTTTCTTACATTACTATTTACTGGCAGATCTTTTGCAGAATCAAAATCAAACCCAGTTTCAAAAGCCTTGTCAGAGTCTTTACTACCCTCTGTAAGAGTTAAACTCTTTGTATGTTCAGCTTTTTTAATTTTTGATGCATCTGGCTGTGAAAAAGAACCATTCTTCAAAGCCAAGTCATTGGTGGCAAAAGGCATGTTAGAGCTTTTACAACTCACAGTTGCTCTTTCACAAGACCTACTTACATGCTGAATTTGTAAAAGCCTTTGTGAATGGCCCAAACAAACTTCACTTGGTTTATATGTCATTGCTGAAATGATTAGCAATTGACTGGATTTCACAGTGACACAGATACCAGCTATTTCAAAAGGTTTTTGCTACTCACTGAGCCCTGTAGATAAAAGGCAAATGTGATTGAACAAATCTTCAAGAGAAGAAAAATATACAACAACACTGCTTCCACTTTCATCAATCATGCCAAGAGCACTTCGTGCATGAGAGTCAACCAATGCATACTGTCCGTTTTGAGAGATGATTGCACACGTATTGCTACACACTGTCAAAAGACATGTGTCATACTGTGCAAAAACCTTTTCCAGTCCAACTGATAAACTGCTGCAGGCACCACTCTCAATAAATTCACCTTCAACAACATTTACATCACCACTGACAAAGTCACTATATTGAAACAAAAAATTCTCTCCATCAATAACGGTCTCTTTTGGTAAATCATGAACACACAACATATCGGACCGCTGGCTAATCCTATTGGTGTCTCGCAAAGCTGTGTACAACTCATCACCTAAAACTACAACTTTGTCAACATCTTTCGTCTGCCATGAAAAGACACTATGAACTTTATGTTTTGCTAGACTTACCAAAGCTATTGCCATACACTGAAGTCCTCCATATTGAAACTGCTCATTCCCCTGATGAAATGATCCTCTTATACTGTTTTTAAGTCTGACAGAAGTGCTTTTCTCAATGTTAGCTGAAACTTCAGTGCCACTTTTGCTACTTTCAAACCTGACAGAACTTTCCTCAACCTCAGCTGCAACTTCAGTGGCAACATTGTTACTTTTAAGCCTGAAAAAACTGCTATCAAACTCAGCAGCACCTTCGATGTCAACATAATTCTCTGTAAACACTTTACCACTCTGCAGCTCAGAATCTTCTTGATACTTGTATATATTCTCTTTCAAAATTCAAATTTAATTCATTGCATATTGTTTGTGCAACTTCAGTAGATACAGGACTATATTTGAATGTCATATGACCTGCATTTTCCACAATTTCAACATCAGAATCACCCACAACTTCAACATCACAATCTACTATCATTCCTGCTGCACCGGTCTCATTTTGCACTGTTTTTAATATGTTGTGTTGTTGTTCAGTCCTAGACTGCATTTGCACTTCAAAATGCAGTTTCTGGTTTTCCAAAGCTAAAACATTATTGTCATTCTTAATATGTGATCTAATATTGTACCCTGTAATATAAGATTCACTGGTTTTGCAATAGCCATAACAACTCTGTAATTCAGGCTCATAAACACAAACTACAGTTTCATAATGGTTTCCATTGCAATTTTCTAAGTAGATACTCTGATTTGACAAAAGCTTACTGTTGCAAGTGTATTTTAACCAACGGCCGTCAAAAAATGTAAATACATTGACTCCTAAATAATCCGCTGTTGCTTGTATTTCAACTTCCGTAGCCCAAATGTTAACATATCGCATTTTGGACTTATTGATGTACTCTGACATTGACGAATACTCTGTTCTCAAAATGTTTTGGTATTTTACACTATTTTTTTCCAACTGTTGCACTACAGCAACTCGTATTTTTCTGTGATACTTTTGTGTGCCAGTCACAGCTTGAGAGATGGCTCGGAAAAAACAGTTGCCATCAGCCACTATACTGTCATTTTTACATGGAGCTCCTAATAAGCCAACACGTGTAAACAGTGGTACATTTGTCTTTTCAAAGTCCACATTTAAAAGTGTGCACAAACTTTGACAGACATTTTTACAAATAGGACTAAACATCATATTTTTATTTACTTTATCACTAACAAATTCTACATCTGAATTATCTTCAACAACATCATATCTTTTAAATTTTTTCGAAGTACAATTCCTTACTGAAATCTTACGCTTGTTTCTTACATTACTATTTACTGGCAGATCTTTTGCAAAAGCCAAATCAAGCCCAATTTCAAAAGTCTTGTCAGAGTCTTTACCACCCTCTGTAAGAGTTATACACTTTGTATGTTCGGCTTTTTAAATTTTTGATACATCTGGCTGTGAAAAAGAACCATTCTCCAAAGCCAAGTCATTGGTGGCAAAAGGCATGTTAGGGCTTTTACAACTCACAGTTGCTCTTTCACAAGACCTACTTACATGCTGAATTTGTAAAAGCCTTTGTGAATGGCCCAAACAAACGTCATCACTTGGTTTATATGTCATTGCTGAAATGATTCGCAATTGACTGGATTTCACAGTGACACAGATACCAGCTATTTCAAAAGGTTGCTCACTGAGCCCTGTAGATAAATGGCAAATGTGATTGTACAAATCTTTAAGAGAAGAAAAATATACAACAACACTGCTTCCACTTTCATCAATCATGCCAAGAGCACTTCGTGCATGAGAGTCAACCAATGCATACTGTCCGTTTTGAGAGATGATTGCACACGTATTGCTACACACTGTCAAAAGACATGTGTCATACTGTGCAAAAACCTTTTCCAGTCCAACTGATAAACTGCTGCAGGCACCACTCTCAATAAATTCACCTTCAACAACATTTACATCACCACTGACAAAGTCACTATATTGAAACAAAAAATTCTCTCCATCAATAACGGTCTCTTTTGGTAAATCATGAACACACAACATATCGGACCGCTGGCTAATCCTATTGGTGTCTCGCAAAGCTGTGTACAACTCATCACCTAAAACTACAACTTTGTCAACATCTTTCGTCTGCCATGAAAAGACACTATGAACTTTATGTTTTGCTAGACTTACCAAAGCTATTGCCATACACTGAAGTCCTCCATATTGAAACTGCTCATTCCCCTGATGAAATGATCCTCTTATACTGTTTTTAAGTCTGACAGAAGTGCTTTTCTCAATGTTAGCTGAAACTTCTGTGCCACTTCTGCTACTTTCAAACCTGACAGAACTTTCCTCAACCTCAGCAGCAACATTGTTACTTTTAAGCCTGAAAAAACTGCTATCAAACTCAGCAGCACCTTCGATGTCAACATAATTCTCTGTAAACACTTTACCACTCTGCAGCTCAGAATCTTCTTGACCCATCTTCACAGAAATGCTACTAACGGCATACCACTGTGCATCTAAAGAGTTCTTTAGATTCCTGATATGAACCATCAGATCATTTAAGCACGTGTTAAAAACAGCCACAGATGTGCCAATAGCAGATGCCATCCCAAACACATCACGAGTGGCACAATCAACCACCACAAAATAATCTTTGTGATGAATGATGGCACTAACTGCGCTGTGAAGGTTTATCAGACACATTCCATCTCTCAACAAATATTCTTGCAGCTTTTCATACATTACACTCTCCTCTTCTAAGGATCCAAAATCTCTGTACACTGGCAGACCTATTTCTACATTCCATTTCTTTCCAAACACATTGTGCTCTTCAATCAACTTACACAACTCCTTTTTACGGTCTCTTTTCTGGCTTGCCTCACCTACATATGTGGCTAGCTTACTCCCTTCCACACATATGTCATCAACATCGGTGTGTACCCATGTACATACAGGAGCAATGACATGTTTGATTGCTGCTACAACACTACATGCAATCAATGCATTCACATCACAATTCAATGGTGCAGCTCGAACATCAGTTCCAGCAACAACAGACAGCTGCAATTTTTCTGAACATATGCATGCATTATCATCACTCTTACTCTTGATGGACTTTGGAGTGCGTCGCATACGAAAGCCTTTCTTCTTCGGCATCTACAATAAACAGAAAAAAAAACAATAGGACTCAAGTAAAAATGTTTTTATAACATTGTAATGAAAAAAAAAACATTTTAAAACAAATGTAAACAGTTATTTAAAAAAAAAGAGATAAACATTTATATTTCCCTGAAATATTACTCACTCAAATTCTTTAAGCATTCTTACTAACAATTAAAAGTTAGGTTAGTAAACAAATAATTCAATATGTATCTTCATTGTTTCCCACTTATTTTCAGGGAGCATTATTTAACATAAAATATTGAATAAAACTATTTTTGCATAAAGCCTCTGGAACTTTTACTTTTTCAATAAATGTAATACAAACTTTCCTATTATGCTATCAAAACACGTGAAAATTGTATAAATTTAAGATACGTGATGTTTATCTCTTACTATGCAATCACTTTTATTTATATATGAAAATGTTTATACAATACACATCAGGGTTTCCCATACATTGATTTACTTGTGGCAGGCCACCACAATATCAAAACTGACTGCCACAAATAGATTTTCCAAAAGGCTTTGACTTCGTTGCATAAACATGAGCACTGCACGTTTAAAAATTAAAAACTGGCGCAGGTGTTTTTATATCACTGTATTTCTGAAGGAAACTAAACATTTTCTGAATACAGTCGATCATTTTCATTTCTTCTTGCATGTAATGCCTGATAAAGCAGCGTTTGTGAGCAGAGCGCTGCTTTGTGTACAGCCGTTACCGGGGAATCCTCGATCTCTACCACTCCAACAGCGCCTCCTGCTGGCAAAAAATTAATTTTCATATGTATATATGGGGCGGGCGAGTGCAGCCACAAATAGTGTAAGGCTGTGGGAAACACTGCACATTGTTTAAAACCAGACAACTTTACACTAATGACAGGAAAAATACTTTAAAATACTCCATATACAGTAGAATGTCTCATGACTCAAAAAATGTCAAAATGCCTGGTAGCTCCTTTGAGCTCTTGAGATTTTGGCAGCCCAAAAAAAAGACTAGGCCTATATTTTGTCTAAAATTGGACAGAAGTCAAAAAAGGTTAATCAAAAACACAAACAAAAAACACAAATATGCATTTATATACATGAAATGGTTGAAAGTTTTAAATATCAGTTAATACCTTACTTGGCATATTCATTATAAATCAGGCATGTGCTCAACTAGAGACAAAAAAGAAGAAAAATCTGACCACGTCTCAAGCCAAGCCCCCAGCATTTATTATTAAAAATAGGCTATATATTTTAGCACATTAAAAGATATCATATATTGTAATAATACATACTATTGTCCTGTAAAAAATAAAAAGCAGCATTTAATAGTCATGATAACAATATCATAATATATTATAATAAAGTACCTATTATAGTAAGGTATATAGATTTGTTATTATTATTAAAGCACCTGCCAAAAGGTTGGAAACATTACAATTATTAATGATAAATAAATATTAAAGATAAATAAATATCTTGTGCTCATCAAGGCTGAATTTATTTGATCAAAATAAAGTAAAATAAACAGCAATATTGTTAAATATTACAAATTAAAAAAAAAAAACTTTTCAATTTTAAAGGGGTCATATGACTTTGCAAAAAGAACATTATTTGGTGAAATGCAATGTGTTTATGCAGTTTAAGGTTCAAAAAACACATATTTTCCATATAATGTACATTATTATTTCTCCTCTATGCCCCGCCTTTCTGAAACGCGTCGATTTTTACAAAGCTCATCGGTCTGAAAAAGAAAGGTGTGCTGTGATTGGCCGAATGCCTCAAGCGTGTGACGGAAATGTTACGCCCCTCACCATACTAAGATGCCGTGTCCCGGCCGGAGCGACGAGACTCAGTCCAGCTGCTCTGCTCGTGCACATCCCATCATCGGTTCTCTTTTAGCAGTTCAGTCAATGTAC